TAAGATGAAGAAAAAGAGTGGGTTTCAGCATGAACAGTATCTAAAAATTTGTGAATAAAAGTATTAAGCAGCACTGTGCAAAATAACTTCCTAAAGTGATGGAAATGATCTATACCTGTGATGTCCAGTATGGTAGCCACTGGTCTTGCGTGGTTCTTGAGCACTTACATATGTGATTGAGGAGCTGGGTTTTAACATTTTATTTAATTAACTTAAATTTAAGTAACACACGGTGCCTATGGCTACAGAATTAAGCACAGCAGATCTCCTAGATGGATGAAAGACAGGGCAGTTATGAAGAAGCCTACAAACAGTAGCCAAGATCTGCGAAAGGAGCGGTGGATTCTGAAGACCCTGAGGCTATCCTGAGCCTGGTCTGGAGAATTTTGAGTGGCTAGAGCCATTTATACATCTGTCTTATTGTGCCTGACCCTACTATTATATACATTTTGTGTTTTTGTTTGATTCTGTCTTTGTCTTGTCCTTTAGTGTTTCTGAGTTCACAATTAAATCCAGTGAAATGAACTTTTTCTAAATGGCTTTGCAGTGGCAAAATTGAACAGTTGGTGCTGAATTTTACAAAATATTCAAAAGAATCAAATTTTACCTTAAAGATCCAGACAGATTTACCAGCTTTACCCAACACCACTTGATGTTGCTGACAGGTTTACAATGCTTTCTCCTCTCTGAGAAGACTCTTAGACGCACTGGACTGGGTCCTGGTTGATCACGTTTGACCGATACCATCTCAATATGTTTGCTACAAACAAGGCTCAAAAACTTTCACAAGTCCAGCAGCTAGAGGACTTGTTAAAACTCACATTATGGAACCCATCTCTAAAGTTTATTTTCCAGTTGTTCTGTGTGGCCCAATATTTGCATTTCTAACAAATTCTCAGGGGATATCGAGGTTACTGTTCTGGAAATCCACCTGCAAGCACCACAGATGATTAAGTCAGGGATAGTCATCCTGAGATAGCATCTCTCAGGAGTTCAAATTTGGAACAGAGAAGCAAAGAGACAGAGAGTAACTACAGAAGGCCTGCAAACCACCACTGGGTAGGGCCCAGAGCTGATCGGGTTCCTGTTCTTCCTGAGCCTTGGTAAATTTAACCTTTTCAATAAATTTCACAACATACTTTCTTCATTTGGCCATAGAAAGTTTCTGTTGTCTGTCCCCAAAAGATCTTTAAGGCATGAAAACAGAAACTATTCTGAGTATCTAAAACAGGTAAAATGGTATAGGGAATCGGTCACACTGATGACAGAAGACCTGGGAAGCCAAACATGCAACTTAGGGATTAGTAACAGCAGGAAGCTACCTCCACCCTCAGGCTGGAGGGACAAAGGGAGAAGGCGGTGTGACAAAGCTGGAACCATGACAGACCAGTCCAACAGGGGCGAGGCTGCTGTTACCATCAGAAACATCACCCAAGGCAAGAGGTGGAGAAATACCTTAGCTTTCCCCTTCCTTCTGTCTGCAGTCTCTGTGTGCCTCTCCATGTGGGAAGCTGGGAAAGGCTCGTCATGCCTCTGAGAACAGTGCTTGTCATGGCACTGTGGAAATAGAACTTGTGGACCTGAGGCCAGCCATGTTCAACTCTGGATTTCTCACTTTTTTTTCCTTCAAAGTTCATTTTTCCTTCTTTCCTGCTTATTAGAGAAAGATAATATGAACATGCTACATAATTTCTAATAGTCTCTTGTTAAGAGTAAGACTCTTAGGGAATGGCGGTATAGCTTAGTGGTAGAGCATTTGCCTAGCATGTGTAAGGCCCTGGGGTTCAATCCCCAGCACTGTCCAAACCAATATGTATATATATTCTATATATGTATATTATATATATATGTATTTTTTTAAACTTTAAATAAACTTTTATTAACTTGTTCCAAAATTAAGCCTGATATGTGAGGTAATGGAAAAATTACAAATGCTAAAAATAACTAACATTGGTGTAGTTCTTTTCCGTTTGAAAAGTGTTTTTACATGTTTCATCAGATTTAATTCTCAAAAACCTTGTGAAGCAGGTATTTCTGTTGATCCCATTTTACAAATGAGGAGACTGAGACTCAAAGAGAATAAGCAGCAGACATAAGCAAAGTGATGCGGCTCAAAATGGTAGAATGGCACATTCTCAAACCCAGGCCTACACACAACCTTACTGTGAAATGCTAAATGTGAAAACATAAGGCTACAAACTTTGATTTTCTTTCTGTGGATGTCTCATTTCCTTCCTTAAGCAAATCTAGTCTCTAGAGTAACCTTGTGGCCAGATCTAAGAGACGTTATTTTGAAAGATCAGCAACATCCCTCCTGGTGCCTTTGCTCCTCACCCTCCACCTGCCTGGAGGATCTATTCTCAAAGATCCCACAGGTTCCTAATTAATAGGCCATGATTATTGGATGAGGCAGGGCCTTTCATAGGATCATTCTAGAACAGCCAAAGCCATTTAAGAACAAAAGAAAAGAAGAATCCCTTTTGGCTGAGAATATAAATTAAACCAGACAGACTGGGTAGTTTTGATGGTTTATGCAATGACGATGTGGTCACCTAGAAAGAATTAAATAAAAACATACACAGTGAGTGTGTGCAAAAATGAGTGTGTGCTTATGTGTGTGTGAGTTCCTTTCTGCCTCCACAGAAATGTTTAAGCTCCCTCTGCTTCCACTTTCAGTCTGAAATTCTGGTGCTAAAGAGCCATCTTTGTTTCTCTTGGTTACCAATGAAACAGTGTGCAGGGATCAGTTCAAATCCATCACCACTTACAGAAAAATGACACAGTGCTTTCTGTCTATATCTGTTATGTATATTTATGTTTGTTTGATAGAAAGAATGGCTCACGTACACATCTACACGTTTTGGTGCTTACAGTCTATTGTTCACGCTATGTGTGGAGATAAGCTATGTCATATGCACAGCTCTTTAATATAGTTATAGAAAATTTTCTGTTGTTGTTGTTCAGGTAGACCTTATCCTTTCCTCATTGCTAGAGAGTCAAAAATTTGCTATAAGGTGATTTCTCCTTTTTTTTTTTTTTTTTTTTTTTGTACCGGGGATTGAACTTGGGACCTTGCGCTTGCGGGGCAGGCAGCAGAACCACTGAGCTAAATCCCCCGCCTTAACTTCTCCTATTAAATTACTCCTCAGTGTGAACCTCATAACATAGTTTTATCTATGAGAATAAACTCTCCCTTAAAGAAAGGCTTCACATTCAGTTTACTGAGTCAATAAATTTCAGGCTTACTGATTATATTTCCATCTAAAAGCTTTACAGAGTTATAAAACCAGGAGAGCCTTTAGATTCATCCCAGGTCAAGTTTCTTTGGGAATATTTTTCCACAATGAACTGTGCAGTACATTAAGTCTACCTATTAGCTACAGTGTCACTGATTGTACTCTTGATCTGATAACCAAAAGAACATTGGTATCCTCTGGGTTCCACTTAAGATAATATTTGAAAAGGACAAAATAGCTTGAAACAGAAGAGCAACATTCAAAATTATCTTCCTTCTATGGAGGAAAATGGGTCTGGTTTGTAAAACAGGCTTGCTAAAAGAAAACCAGAATTCAGCACTAAAACATCTCTCTCAGCAAACAAAGAATTTTCTTTCCTCTTGGGATTCTTAATTAGTTCCACCAATAGTTTTCATTTGAATCTAAGTTTGTGTTGCAGAGTGAAATAAGAAGATGAATGATGAGATTTCCATCAACAATTAGGTGAGGAGTTGGTTGAAATCTTAATTGGGAACCTTAATTTCCCAAGAAGATATCTAGAGATTTTGCTAGTGGAATGGAGGTGTGTATTGGTCCTTATATGCACTTGGGCCATATCAGATGCCATTATAATTTATTGCACATTTACAACCCGAATAATGCATTTTTTTTTCATGGAGACACCTGGAGATTTGTTGTCAACGTTAATTTTTCACAATATTTGGTATTCAATCAACAATGGAATATTGCCACGGAAAATGTTTATGTGTTAAAAACAAAATCTGCCAAAAGGGTCCGAATTCTGCCACACACCTTTTGCTTACCTTTAAATAAACATTTACGTGTATTAAGATCAGGAGAATTCTGAAGGGAGAATGTTGTGAGCTTTAAGGTCTTTAAACACCTTTTAAAAAAGATGATAGCATGGAAAATGAGGGGATGCTGTCGATTTAAAAATACATGTATACATATACACATAATTTAGTAGAACTTTTAGACAAGCATGGTATCTTCTAGGAGCTGGCCACCAGGGCGGGAAGTCGCTTGGGGAGAAACAAAAGCCCGGCTGGGCGACAGCATTATCTCCGCCGCAGCAGGCAGCTCCGGGCGGAGGGCTGGGCCACGTCTCTCGAGTCTGTCACATCGCATTTTACTGATGACAGCCTCGTGTTCTGTCAGCTCTGCAGACCACGCCGCTCCGTCTCCGGGCTCCGTTGAATGGGGAGGGCAGAGAAGAGGAGGGAGCATTTAGCCAACTGTGGGGATGCACGGGGACCCCTCCTTGTCGCGGGCCGCGTCGCCTCGTCCTCAGGGATCCAGGGAAATACCAAGACCCTGTTTAACCCAGAAACCGGAGTCCTAGGAAGCAGCTGTTCTGCGTGGGGAGGACAGAGCGATGCTGAATCTTCTTTCCCCAGCTGGGGCCCAGCGAGCCCAGTCAGGGGTCAGAAGGACCTGGCTGTGGAGCAGGACCCCTCCCTGCCCCGGAGCCGACTAGAGGTCAAGTCAAAGGGCTCGACCACAGGGCGCCCTCCCTCAGGCCGGGAGTCCGCTGGACCACAGCGGGCAGCACTAGCCGGGAGGGCGGTGAGGGGCGGGGTGGGCCGGAGTGGGGCGGGGCCCTGAGGGGCGGGGAGGAGGAGGGGCATGGAGGTGGCGGGCTTCGTCGGGAAGTGTAGTTTCTCCGAGCTGTGGTGCGAGGCCGTCCAGCTCAGCCTGCCGGGTCGCGCCTACAACTCCCAGGAGCCTCCGGGCCCGCAGGGGAGTCCATGCGCAGTACTCGCCACATTCTATCCTATCGGGAGAGGAGAGGGTGATGTCACCTGCGAGTTGGTAACCTACGAGCTGCTGTGAAGGAAACTGTTTAACCGGATCCCATTGTACCCGGAGAGCAGAGCCGCCTTTCTAGCATGCGGGGGCTGCTCAGGTAAGGGGACACCCGTGTTGCCCGCCACGCACTTTCCTTGAGGGCCCAGCTGGCTGGGGCGCGGGTGGGCGTGCTCCCTTCCAGCCGGCGCCGGGTGTGCGGCGCGCCCTCCCGCTGCCTCCGAGGAGCTGCGGGCCAGCGGGTAAATATTAAACCCGTCCTTCAGGTTGGGTCTGGGTGGGAACAGCACCAAGACGCTCGGCTGCCGAGCGGGGTTTGGAAAATGGCTGCAGCCGGCGGGGAGCGGGCGTCCCCGAGGACGGGGTTCCCGCCTCCTTTCTCCCCGGGCGCCGGGCGTCGGGCTGGGTGTCCTGTCCGCCTCGGGCCGGCTCCCCGCCGCCTCGGGACGACCCCAAGGGATAACTGTAATTGGGCGGAGACGGAGCTGAAGGTTTCCAAAGAAGGACCGGGAAATGGGGCGTTGCAGAAGGACGAGGGGAGTTGGCGGACCACGGCGAGGGCAAGCAGCGCCGCAGAGCCCCTGCCCCGCGTCCTCCTCGGAGGCGCATCCCGGGTGCCCGCACGAATCGCGCCCTTGGCCGGGAGCACCTGGGCTGGGCGAGGCTCGCACCTCGGAGCCCCGGAACGGGGTGTCGGATGCTCTCAGGATAGGGCTTGCTGTGGGGAAGAAGCTGGATAATCGGGTTTACTCTGCCAGTGCCAAAAGCCAACTGCTTGTGATCGGCTTGACGTCTGATTGGAGAGGAGCGCCAGGCCCGGCAATCTAAAGTCCTCTGGATTTCCTTTCTTTCCCAGCTGACTCACTCGTTCATCAGATTCCGCTACGGCTCCCCGCACGTTGCTTATAATCAGGGTTTGGGATGTTCTGTCTCTCACCCCCATACAATATTTCATTGCGCTCAGGAATAGATTTTTGCACTCCATTCCTCACACACCCATCTCCACCCCCTGGAGAGCATCAGGAGCAAATATCACCCGTGACCGTATGGCTCTCATTGAACTGCTAGTTTCTTGAGATTCAAGCAGGACCCTGTGAATTGAAGCCGAGTTTGACTGCCTGACGAATTCTGTTGCTATGGCGACTCAGGCCTTCGGAATCCTAACTGCTAGTCCTGCAGTTCCGATTCGTTGTGGCTCTGCGGGCAGCTGGGAGGGCGTGGTCGGTGGGTGTGGTCAAGTGCTGGTCCCAGGCCCAGCTGTTCCCTCCTCCCCTCCTCATTCACAGCCGGGACCCTCCTCATTCGCTAGTAATTAGCTTGGACTTTGTTTTTGGACCCTTTCCCTTCTTGCGTGCCCATACTGCATCTCTCCATCGTCCTTCCTCCCTAAAACTAATGCTGTGGAATAGCGTGTGTGCGTGCGTGTGTGTGTGTGTGTCCCCGCGCAACTGGAGAGATCGCTCTCCCCTTATGGGGTACCTGCATCATTTCTGTAGCCAGCGCCAGTATTTCTTCAGAAGGGCGCTTTCCGCTATTCTGTATCAAGAGAGCCCACTGGTCACCAATAACAGTTCCCAATTTGCCCGAGATGCAATTGACTGGAAGTGATTAGGAGACAATTAGTAAGGGAAATTTGAAAGTCACTGCCATGCGTTGTGGTTCTGGTGAAATCTAAACACCAGCCTAGAAGATGCAGGTCTCAGAATGAAGGACAAGCTGGGAAGTAGGTCTTCCAGTAGTTCCTGCTTTGGCCTTACTGCCTTCCCTGTCTGAGGTTACTCCTTTACCTCCAGAACTTGTCTCCTCATTTGTAATGTGAGGAGAGGAATATAGTACAGGACTATAGTACAGGAATATAGTATAGTATCGTATCTCTTTTGATTCTAAAAGAGACCCTCCCACCCCACATAATCTGAAGGTGAGGGTTTAAACCCAGCTTCTAACATTGGGTTAATGTCTTCAAACCTTACTTATATGATAAAATAGCCTGGTTCTTCATAGCATTGCTTCAAAGTGGGCAGGGCAGCAGCTATATTATGATTTATACTGTTACTACCATTCCAGTCCTGGACTTAAAATTATATTTTTAGCCTTGGAAGTAATTGTTCAGATTTTTGCTTTTTTACAGATTCTTGGTGAGTGCAGTTATTTGTAACCTAATTACATTAAGTGTAGTTAAGCTATACAGAAATTTTGTTTTTCCCTGCTTGCATTTTGTACCAAGTACATTATCACAAAAGTTGCAGTGGGAGGAAGATATGTGCGTATGTGAGTGTCTGTGTACATGCATTCAAGTTTGGATAAATACTTGGGGATACTCTGTGCCTCAAGGTGCACACTCATCATTTTGTCGTAAGTAGATGGTTACATCCCCGTGAGGACACAAGACTAGAAATTATCACTATTTTATCTTAGCACTTATTATTAAAGGAAAATCTCCATTTATCCATCGATTTGTCTCCTTTACTAGATGATAAGCTTTTGGGGGGGCAGGGTCTTAGTCTTGTCTTCTCTGTCTCCCCAGCATTTAGAGCAGTGTTTGTCTATTTGTAGATGTTTAATAATTGTTTGTTGAATATTAGGTTTTAGAACTGTGGTTGGAGATATGAGTTCAGTATTCTTTCTCAGATAGTTCTCTCATCCACTGTTCACATTCCTTTTAGTTGTTGGTCAAAATTTCATTTTACCATAAATAGAAACTCTTTTAGCATAAAAGGTCTTCTGTGTGTCTGAAAGAGAGATGGATCTTGTAATTATTTGCTTTTGGAATACATTCATTCACATAGACTTTTTTTTTTTTTTTTGCTAGTATTGTCCCCAGATTTCTAGATTTCTACCAGTTGTACTCTCCTTAGCCCAGATAATTCTCTCATGAGGTGTATGATAGGAGAATAGAGAGACCAAGACCAAGATTCCTAGCGACTTTCCCAGCCCACCAATGGCTCCTAGAGGAGCTGAGAGACAAGAGTCCTACCCTCTGGGGTAGAGGTGTTCTCTAAGGATCGCTTGTCCTATGCCGGCTGATATGGGAGGAGGACATTTGTCCGATATGTGTAACATTGTTATCGTCCTGTAGTTGGAGCCTGTGTGTTTTCAGTAGTGTCAATTAGTGAGGAGGTGCGACAGTGAAGAGGCTAGCAGGTCACATCTTTGGGCCTTGTGTCCTTACAGGGGCTTCCTAAATAGGTGCCCAGGAATTTGAATCCTTTGAATCTGGGCTTTCTTAATTTGCGAACAGTTCTGGGTGTTAAGAATATGTGTCTGTGTGTGGTTTTATCTGAGCTACTTTGTTTAAAGGACTGCTTTTTAGTGTTTTTGCTATTCTCAGAGTAAATAAGATATTTACAAACAAAACAGTTAAGATGGAAAGTGTTTCATTTTGTAAATATTTTGGAAATGGTATAAAGAGTAGCTTTGGCTTGAGAATGTTGAGTCCTTCTGTAAAAACACTAAAAGTTACAGCTGTTGGATCAGAGGAAACAAGCTTTTCCAGCAGAATGTGGGACCATTGAGAGCCTTAGGTGTTTGGTTCAGGAAATAATCAACAAAGCTTATCGTTACTGTGGGGCCCTCCCTGGCTTCCAGCCATGCTCTGGTATTTCAGAGTGTTAAGTTTGTTCGTATACTGCAGAAAACAAACCAACTTAGCTTGGCAAACTTGTTTTCTGTCTAGAGGGGACCCCAGATACAGTGACTTTTCCTCTTTGGATGAGGAATGTGGACTATTGTCTCATTTTGGTATTACAGTTTCTTATTTGGTAATGTAGGAAATCTTATCAGTAAATATCTATCTTAAATATTACAACATCTGCTCTTAGGAATTTCCTTGAGAGCTCAGAATTTTCAGGCATCTGGTTGTACAGATCTGGTTTAAGAAATTGGTATGGAGGGCTGTTTCCGTGGCTTGGAGTATATCTAGTTGTAGAGCAGGCTGGGGTGGAGAGTACCACTTTTAAAGTTACATTAACTTCACAATGAACTTTTATGTACATTGTGCTCTTTACAGTGACCTAGGCTGCTGGTAGAGCCTGGACTAGAAGGATGGATCTGAAGTACTCCCACCTTCAAGATAACCACCTCATCAGCACCCTCTTCCCCAAAGAGGGACGGATGAATGACATGCAAGCAGATTTTGATGACCTACATTCCATTTCAGTACACTCTTTTTTGCAGGGAAAAAAATGAGTTTATATTTTTATTTTCTAGTGCCCTCTATGCCATTCCAGGAGCAGAGAACAGAGCATATCAGAGAGGATTTGCATCCATAGTGTCTAAAAGTATGTTAAATGTTGAATCCTAGGAGCACAATGATAGGTATACAAATTACCCCCACCTCAGTTTTATTATGGGTTTAGCAAATGCACCCTTAGCTTTGATGAGCTTCTTTTTCTTTTTTTTTTTGGTATGGGGGATCGAACTTGGGATCTTGTGGTTTTGAGTCAGGCAACAGAACCACTGAGCTAAATCCCCAGCCCCAATCTTCATTGATATTTAAGTGTTCCTGCTTTTTACCTCAGTCTGACTTTCTGCAGCAGTGACTCCTCTCATCTGGAATGTGCACCCTTCTGTGTGGCTGAATCTTGTACTTTCAGGTCCCAGCTCAGGTGCCATGGCTCCCAGGAGGCCTTCCCTGCCATATCCCTCAGTTTTCAACCCCCGTCCTCCTCAGAGCTCTTCCCCTGCCCACCCGACACTTAATGCGGTACTGACAGTGTATTCGAGGTGCTTCTCTTCTGCTGAGCTCTTTCTGATATTTTATGTGGGCTACATAATTAACTCCAAACTGTACAAGGTAGGTACTATTATCACCATTTTAGAGGTGAGAAAACTGAGGCATGGAGAAGTTAAGGAACTTAATGGAACTTAATGTCCTTACAGACTGGGTTAGGGACTTAGGGAGTCTAGTTCTATACACACTCTATCATTCCCTGGCTGGATTTGTTTTTTTTTTTTTTGGTATTGGGGATCGAACTCAGGACCTTTCGCTTTCGAGGCAGGTAGTGACACCACTGAACTAAATCCCCTGCCCTCCCTGGCCGGATTTGCAAGTGTTATTCTTTTTCCTCCAGCTTAAGTTGGGGGACTCACTACTTACTTCCT